GATGATGTGCAGGTGGGTTATACTTACAGGTAATGTTCTAGTTACAGTCTTCACAAAGACAGTCATATTTGCAGCCATGGCTTTAGCGCATTTCAGCACATCAACCAACAATCACTCATGGTACACTTCCCTAGAGTTATATACCTTGCAAACTACGTATATCATTATATCCCACGGCCGTGTATTTAACAAACCATAGGTTTAAGTCTAAGTCACAGGCTTGGCACATTGTCCCATTAAGTTTGTGTATGGCTACAATATCACATTTTAAAACAGATTTTTCTTGAACTGTACAGCATATTAAACACTGTATGGTATAATATTCCATAGCCAATCATTGAGATATATTTAGTGAGTACAGTTAATTAGAATGAATGTAGATTGCTTTACTCTATCCTGGGGATAGCTGGGAAATTAAATCTAGTAATAAATAGAACATAACAGAACCTTTCCATCTTTCCCGAGGAGAGTGTTCCACTGTGTTTTAGGGAGGCCTGGGACTCATAAATGTTTCTAGCAAGACCATCTCATGTTAAGAAGAATCTTCCACAAAAAGTGCATGAGAGTTCAGGTCCCTTGTTGCCATCACATGTAACTGACATGTTTCTTTTTCAGACTCAAGCTCCTGACATGTCTGCAGTCCAGTTTTCCTGTGTCCCTAGTCCTTTCTTAAATTTCCCCTTTCAGGCAATATGATATACAGCATCCTGTTCTCATGAGTCAACCTCAATACCTGTATCTTTTATGGAACCGAAGAATGGAACATCAGCAGTTCAGAAATGTATACAATGTCTTCTTCTCATAGTCCAGGGCTATTCAACTGGCGGCACGAGGGATAAGTCTGGCCCACAAAGGCCTAGCAAGTGGTTCACGGATCACTGCCAACTGTATTGTATTACAGATCTTTCTACATCGGGGTTCCGACCTCTGGCCAATGACAATCTCAAGTTTCAATATTTCGGCTCCTGAGTAAACTTAGCTGAAAAGCCCTTATATATTCAATGCCGTGTGGCGTCGGTAGTCACGTCTATCCACAACCTTCTGTCTTGTGTACTTTCAATCAGTTCTGACACATCATCTGATCTTCCATGCCATGATGTCAAACAGTTCCGAATCTTCTAACTTAGTCCCCCTCTACCTCTTTTTTTCCCTCCAACTTTTCTACCCTCACAATGTACTCCAGTTTTTCTCCTTCTCATGACATGACCAAAGAAAGTAGATTGTCTCTGTCTGATGTGGGCAATTCGTTCTCTTTATGAGTCAGTTTCTTTCAAGACGTCTTCATTACTCTTTGTATCTGTCCAGGGTATTCTCATCATTCATCTATAAAACTACCACATAATTTTTCACTAATCATCCAATTTGTCCATGAGCTGTTGATTACTTGAAGAGTTAATATTACAAAAAATTAACACACACAAGGAAATCTTCCACCTTAACCACCTGAGACACAGAGTGAGCAGTGGTACTGTCAGACAGACTGTGGGAACAACATTGAACACAAAATTCACTGACAAGCAGAAGATGAAATGGTTTGGTCATCTTTTAGAATGCAGCCATAACAACCAATGCAGATGCTACAAGTAAGAAGATGTGGAAGAAGATACCCAAACAGACGATGTACTGATGGCATTAAAGACCTACTTCGATACTGAGTGACATAGCCAGCACTGTCCAATGAAGCAATAGATCGTAATTTATTGACATTGTCTATGATGATGATGATGATGATGTTAAAGTTAAATGTGAGAAGACTGCCTTACCATATTTCTCCATGCATAAGACACCCCATGTGTAAGACATCCATGCATAGGACACTCCATGTGTAAAACATCCATGCATAGGACACTCCATGTGTAAAACATCCATGCATAGGACACCCCATGAGTAAGACATCCATGTATAAGACACCCCATGTATAAGACATCCAAGTATAAGACAAACACCCAAGTATAAGACACCCCCATGTGTGAGACACCCCATTTGTAAGTCATCCATGTATAAGACACCCCATGCGTAAGATACCCCATGTATAAGAAACCCAAGTATAAAAAACCCAAGTATAAGACACCCTCAGTATAAGACACCCCATGTATAAGACACCCCATGTGTGAGACACCCCATTTGTAAGTCATCCATGTATAAGACACCCCATGCGTAAGATACCCCATGTATAAGAAACCCAAGTATAAAAAACCCAAGTATAAGACACCCTCAGTATAAGACACCCCAAGTATAAGACACCCCATGTGTAAGACACCCCAAGTATAAGACACCCCATGTAAAAGACACCCCATGTGTAAGACACCCCATGTGTAAGACACCCCATGTATAAGACACCCCATGTGTAAGACACCCCATGTGTAAGACACCCCATGTATAAGACACCCCAAGTATAAGACACCCCATGTGTAAGACACCCCATGTGTAAGACACCCCATGTGTAAGACACTCCATTTGTAAGTCATCCATGTATAGGACACCCCATGTGTAAGACACCCCATGTGTAAGACACCCCATGTGTAAGACACCCCATGTGTAAGACACCCCATGTGTAAGACACCCCATGTGTAAGACACCCCATGTGTAAGACACTCCATTTGTAAGTCATCCATGTATAGGACACCCCATGTGTAAGACACCCCTTGTATAGGACACCCCATGTGTAAGACACCCCATGTGTAAGACACCCCATGTGTAGGACACCCCATGTGTAAGACACCCCATGTGTAAGACACCCCTTGTATAAGAAACCCAAGTATAAAAAACCCAAGTATAAGACACCCAAGTATAAGACACCCCAAGTATAAGACACCCCAAGTATAAGACACCCCATGTGTAAGATTCCCCATGTGTAAGACACTCCATTTGTAAGTCATCCATGTCTAAGACACCCCATGTGTAAGACAAATCCCATTTTTTTAAATCCCAAAATTAAGAAAGAAAGAAAGAAAGAAAGAAATACCATGTAAGAGATGGCCCCCAATTTGAAAGTTTTAAAAATTAAGGATAACATTATTTCTTATAAATGGAAAAATAAGGTCATTGTAGCAGGTTACCCTAAATAGCTCAGTCTCTCTTCCCAGCGCATAGCTGGCTGCCTGCCAAGAGTATCGCACAAAGAACAAACTTTGTAGCTCCAGTGACGGCCCCCTGGGATCTCCATAAAACTGCATGTGAACTCAACAATGGGTCAAGGAAACAAACCCACGACCTTCAGACTCACAGCACTGAGACAAATAGCTTGACCAATTTGTCATGGAGACCTCCAAAAAACACTAACAGAAAGCAGAGACAAGACAGTACTAAAAAATAACTTACTGCTTCATAAATGGTCAAGTCATTGGCTCGAGTTGAAGTGTTCATCTCAACCATGAGAGGATAACCCAACAAGACAACATCTGCCTGCTTGGTTCTGTGCTCCAGAGATGAGAACCCTTCAAATTCAGGGTGATAGTCCAGATTTTTGTCATATGGCAGGTATAATTTCTTGCTAATGTTAGACCAAGTAATGTTTTCTGGCTTTTGAGGACAAATAAAAGAAGGCGACATAAAAGAATGCACAAGATGTAAGGACTAAAAATATTATTAGATAAAACTCATGAAAATTAGAAAAGGAAAGCTTATGAACAATATTTGTCAAAATAAATAAAAAATAAAAAAAAAGACAAAACCTTTTTCTGCCTTGCAGATGCATTCTGACTTTGAATAAAATGCTGATTCTATCTATGTTGGTCAGGCTCCCGGCTGGGAAACCTGTTTCTAGGATAATCCCAGAGAGGTGTAGGCAGGTGTTGACCAGTAGCAGACCTGGTCCTGGTGCAGCACCACATGTGGTTCAGCATTACTCCACCCCAGGAGCTCACGTCAACTTTACATTCTTGCCCTGCCCAGAACTCAAACACCTGGCCTCTTGACCAGCAAAATCACTGTGCTTCCATGGTAACCATTTGTTTCAGACATTATATTATTTTGAAGAAAACTGACGCCTTCAGGGATTTTTTTACTTAAATCTAAATAAAATAATTTGCAAATGCAGACTACGACGGCCGATATGCACATTTTGAAATAAAGCTACACTTAATGGCTGATTTTCGTCTGTGTTACTATGGTACCAGTTTGGCCCAGACATTATGTTAAAGAAAATTAAAACCTTCAGAGATTTTTCTTTTAAAATTTAAAAAAAAAATGTAAATGAAGAAATGGAACAGCTGATTTTGACCATGAGTCTGCATTTGATGTGGGTTTGGTCCTTGCTGGTTCATCATATGAGATGAAAACCCCGCATCATCCGGTGAGATTTAGTGGTTATCATTATGAACATAACTAAAAAGGCTGATTGGTCTATAAAAATATAGGTCTAGCCCTATAAGCCCTATATGCCTAAAGGTGTGGAAAAGGGTCCTTTACTGTTTGACTTTTAATAAGGCTGGGGGAAGCCTAGAAAGTACTTGGGAAAGTGTGCAGCTGATAGCAGTCAAAACACAGAGGGAGTTCCTCGCATCAATGTTTCTAGCTTGTTTGTGTTTTTTATTAGTGCAATCTCTGCTTCCTTGCTGGTTTCTGCATCAATATGAAAACACCCAATCAAAATCAATCTTGGATAGTAGCTTTTCCTTATGTTTGTACTGGTGTCACAGGACTTTACTAAAACAGTGTTGGTCAACTAAGTTTACATCAGACATGATGTGGCTCCTTTCTCCATAGAACACTAGCAGTCACATAACACAGGAAACATTGCCTAAAATCAAGGAGTGTTAGATCTTAGCTTCCCTTATGTTTGTACTGGTGTCACAGGACTATACTAAAACAGTGTTGGTCAACTAAGTTTACATGTCTGATGTGGCTCCTTTCTCCATAGAACACTCGCAGTCACATAACACAGGAAACATTGCCTTACTTCAAGGAGTGTGGGATATTAGCTTTCCTTAACCACCTGACAACAAAAACTTCAATCAACAGAATAAACTGAGCAATCTCAGAAATGTTCAGACACATACCAGTCCAGATATCCTGTTGAGATCATTAGCGAAGTTGAGTGTGGTCTGTGCAATGTTGTTGGTGTAGGCCGAGTCATTCACTGGGAAATGGTACTCATCTGGTGGCATTACTCCTGTACAGAATGAGCAGCAAAATAATTCATGTGACACATCTGGACTCTTTCCACATATTCAGGTGTATCGGCCACCTTTACTTCTCAGGACTGTACCTGACACCCATTTAAGGCTGGGTCAGATACTCTTTTCATATAAATGTAACTGTAACTGTAATGGGTTAAACTATCACATTACATTCTGCTAGGCTGTTTGTGGATTATTAATGAATAATTCTCAATAGATTAAAGATGAAGTACAGTTGCTACTCACTCAGAAATATACTGAGGTGAGTTGTGCACTTATGGCTGAATGATTTGATAAACAGGGCTCTGATCCATCGACTAATTAACTAACTAAGCATTTATCTAAATATGTTTGTACTATCATTGATGATGTGCACAATCATCTTAGAGCTCTAAACATAACGATAGGAACAATATTAGTTTCCAACAGTTCTCCTGTATTTGTGTTAACTGACAAATATACATTTAAAATTGTTTATAATTGTTGAAGGAGTTTAAGCTTTGAATAAGTCAAGTTGAACATGATTAACCAGGAACTTCCACTGATTTCACAGTTAATAAATGCAGAAGAAAAACAGGAGGAGGAGGAAGAAGAAGACAAAGAAGAAGAAGAAGAAGAAGAAGAAGAAGAAGAAGAAGAAGAAGAAGAAGAAGAAGAAGAAGAAGAAGAAGAAGAAGAAGAAGAAGAAGAAAGATAATGAGGAAGAGGAGAAGAAGATGGGGAAGAATGAGATGGAGAAGAAGAAGTGGCCACTCCCACTGCATTTACCCTTTTTTTTCTTTATAAATGCACTCATAATAATATAACTAGAATGTCTTTACACTGGAACCCACAGGAAAACAGAATAAAGGCAGACCAAAAATCACACAGAGAAGGAAGATAGAGAGTGAAGTTAAAAAGACAAGGAGAACATGGGATGAGCTGCAGACAATAGCAAAGGATAAGAATGACTTAGCATGAGTTGGTTGAGGGCTTTTGCTTCACTGGGGGGATAAAGAGCAGAAGACAGAAAAAGATTAATGATTTTCCACCATGTGGTTTTCTGCTGTGAAACTTGTTGGTACTAAAAAAGTGAAATTATGCTTGATCTCAATTTTGACTTTACTGTTCACTGCTCATGGGGTTTGAGATTTGAACAACGGATCAACAACATGGCACACGGGTAGTAACTCATAAGTGCTCCGCTCTTCTTCTAACTCAAGTGTGAGTCCAAAGAAGCTCAGCACAGTGCACAGGCTCTGAAGCACCGGCGAGGATCCTGAAATATTTTGGTTAGATTTTAAACTCCAAATGTTTGCCTGGGCAGCGCCATTAGGCTACTTTTTTTCCCATTTCCAACTGCCAAGGGATTTGTTACGTGCCCAACAATGCACACGGGCCTCCGGTCTCACTACCCAGAGACCAGGGGGAATTACTAGAAGTCCAAGTCTATGTGAAAAAATCCCAGACCTTACCGGGATTGAACCTGGAACCTTTAGCACTCAAGGTAGACACCATGCATTAAAACCACGCAGCCCCCTCACACTGCTCATGAAAATCCTACAATTAGAAGCAACTGACCTAAGATCCTATAGGTACCATCTGTTTCACTGAATGTAGCCCTAGATGACCAAAATCTAGCTGTCTCCCACACAATGTCCGCTCCAGAATTCTTGAACATAAAATCCTGGTCATGAGTCAGCTGCCAGTACTGACGAACCATCAGAGGGACGTCTCCGTTGATGTGAATCTCGAGCTCAGGGTAAGGTTCAGCAGGGCAGGTTTCCAGACCTGATCAGGACATTATGGTAAGAGATTAAAAGGGTCTTGGATACTCCTTTAGATCAGTGGTTTTCAACTTTTTACAGGTGGTGACCCCACACCTTTCCCGCTCCCTTATATGGCAAGACCCCAGCCCCTAATCCCAATTTTTTAAAAGACTTAACTAAAAAGAGGACGAAAAGAAAAATCCCAATAACTATCAACAAGACCTTGGTGAAAAACTTACACATAAAAAAAGTGTTTTAAAAAAAAACATACATCATCAACTGCTAATTTAGTGTCCAGATATCAATGTGATGGTTGACACTGTTTTGTCTAGACTACATCTGCTATTTTCATTTTTGACACAGATATATAATGCCATGTGATGGTGTGACACTGTTTTGTCTAGTACTTAGATCATTTCTGATGCTATTTTCAGTCCATGCTACTGATATTATTCAAATCATGTACTTCCAATTTTGAGACAGATGATATATAGTCCATGCCATGTGGCATTAATAGTTATGTGTAACCACAGCTTTCTGTCTCATGTACTTCCAATCATTGCTGATACAGACAATCTTCCATAGTCCATGTGATGTGGCACTGATAGTTATGTGTAACCACAGCTTTCTGTCTCATGTACTTCCAATCATTGCTGATACAGACAATCTTCCATAGTCCATGCGATGTGGCACTGATAGTTATGTGCAACCACAGCTTTCTGTCTCATGTACTTCCAATCATTGCTGATACAGACAATCTTCCATAGTCCATGCAATGTGGCACTGATAGTTATGTGCAACCACAGCTTTCTGTCTCATGTACTTCCAATCATTGCTGATACAGACAATCTTCCATAGTCCATGTGATGTGGCACTGATAGTTATGTGTAACCACAGCTTTCTGTCTCATGTACTTCCAATCATTTCCGAAACAGATGATCTTCCATGTGAAGATGTCAAAGTGTTCATCGCTCTAGGTCTCCCTCTTGTCTTTTTCCCCTCTATCTTTCCGACCGCAACAATGTACTTCAGTTTTTTCTTCTTCTCATGATGTGGACAAAGAATGTAGATTGCTTCCTTCTACTGTGGGTTTTCAGTACTCTTCATGAGTTCATTTCTGCATCTTCACTGTTCTTGTCATCAGCCCATGATGGTTTTTCTTCTTCATTGAACCTTTTACCGCTTCAAGTATCAATGAAGATTTAAGGTTCTGTTCTTGTTCTCCTGGTCGCTTTGACCAAAGACATATCATACTGTTGTAGAATTTCTCTGACGTTTTGTTACCCTCTTTTTTACGATTTACATCATGCTGTATGTTTTTTTTTCTCTTATAGTGTATGTCTTGTATGGTATGATATCACAAGACATTCTCTCTAAGTGGCCCAACCAGTTTATTTGCTGTCTTTGTATGTAATCTGGAATCAGTTTTATGCTGACATATTCCTCTGATGACTTCATTCCTGATTTGATCTCTTGCAGTTACTTCTGCAGCCATTCTCAAACATCTAATTCCCATGGTTACTATTTGTATTTTCTGGTTTGCTGTAAGTGACCGTGTAGCATAGGATGGGAATAAATATTCTTTGTAGGAAATGTTTCCTTTCCGTGGTATTCACAACACTGATCTATAAAACCACATCTCTGCAGCTTTACCAGAATCTGCTTCACATAAATCTGTGATAATTTCTACTGCTGCTATTGCTTTTATATTAAAATGAGCATATAATGTTATGGTTGAGATGGTTAGGTGTCCTTTTTAAACTAATCTTTTCCTTGTATGGGTTCCAGGGCCCCATTTCTAGAAAAACATGAAGAGACCCATTGTCTTCCTCATAAGTATGTAGTAAGAGTCGATTAATTAGGGGTTTCCACTTAAGTCGGAGTGCATCTGCTTTAGAGGTAAGGAACCAACAATCTGCATTCAAATAAGCCATATCTGTAAAATGAATCTACACACAACACTCAATTTCTGGAACAAGACTGACATCTAGAAGTAGAAGAACAACGAGAACTTTCCACAGGAGTTTTCAGGTAGTGAACATGAAGAAGAAGAAAACTAGTCACATGGCCTATAACATAATTTGTAATCATGACCTATAACACAGTTTGTACTCATGATCTATAACTTAATTTGTACTCAAAGTATGCTAACATCTGGCAATTCTACCACTAACAGCATTCTACAACTCAATTCAGCTGTGACTGTCAAGTTACAATACTTCAAAAACCATCTTTCAATAGTTTGCCAATTAAAATTTGAGTTTTAGTTTAGCATCACAGGCCCTAAAGTAAAATTGGAATATTGATTGGGCTTCTAGGTAGTAACCTATGAAAGTATGATGCATTCCTTGGGACTCAAAGAGTTAAAGGAATTTGAAGTAGTCAAATTTATTTCTCCTGAAATCTCCAGCCTTTGAGGTTTCAAAAAACATGTATTACTTAGCAACTGTTTGTTAATAAACCATAAAGTCAGATAAATAAATCACTAAAAGTTAATTCAATCATCCACCACACTGAGGCTTAGGCGCTGTGATCGCGCTTCATAATGCCGGGGTACCTGGTTCGATCCCAGCTGTGGGCCTTGCACCTTGTGATAGTTTCGACAGTGGTATCAAGAAGCTGACCATCCAAAAAGCAATGGCAAACTCCTGGGTATGAATTTGCCTAGAAAAACCACAACAGTTAAAAAATTCTGAGTTTGGTTCTGCAACGTCCTGTAAAGGATAGGCTACTAACTAACCACACTTATTTAAAACGACATAAGTCGACTACATCAGCAAGCCTACTGGGGAGGTTCAACAACATTCAGGTACCAGTTAATGCAGACTCCCATGGGTAGCGAGCTCCATCAAACCCAGTATCTCTGGCCAAAATCTTGGCAGCTGACAAGGTCCTTGTTCTAGTCTCTGCAATAATCCGACCCAAATCAGGATACAGCAAAGCGATGGAGGGAAACATCCACACATCTTGGTCCCAGAAAACATGCCCAAGGTAGTCCTAATGAAGAATATCAGTATTAATTATCATTCAATTCATTACATACACCCTTATCTTTTACAGATGTCATTACAGTTCTTACTAGTACTATAGCAATTATGACACTAGCTCCATCATCCATCGTCATCAACTGTTATAACCACCACTACAAAATCTGCTATTACAATATATACTATATAGCAATTATGACACTAGCTCCATCATCATTATCATCAACTGTTATAACCACCACTACAAAATCTGCTATTACAATATATACTATATAGCAATTATGACACTAGCTACATCATCATCATCAACTGTTATAACCACCACTACAAAATCTGCTATTACAATGTATACTATATAGCAATTATGACACTAGCTCCATCACCATCATCAACTGTTATAACCACCACTACAAAATCTGCTATTACAATGTATACTATATAGCAATTATGACACTAGCTCCATCACCATCATCAACTGTTATAACCACCACTACAAAATCTGCTATTACAATATATACTATATAGCAATTATGACACTAGCTCCATCATCATTATCATCAACTGTTATAACCACCACTACAAAATCTGCTATTACAATATATACTATATAGCAATTATGACACTAGCTCCATCATCATTATCATCAACTGTTATAACCACCACTACAAAATCTGCTATTACAATGTATACTATATAGCAATTATGACACTAGCTCCATCATCATCATCAACTGTTATAACCACCACTACAAAATCTGCTATTACAATGTATACTATATAGCAATTATGACACTAGCTCCATCATCATCATCAACTGTTATAACCACCACTACAAAATCTGCTACTGCAGTATAATTTTGACACTAGCTACATCACCATTATCATCAACTGTTATAACCACCACTACAAAATCTGCTACTGCAGTATAATTTTGACACTAGCTACATCACCATTATCATCAACTGTTATAACCACCACTACAAAATCTGCTACTGCAGTATAATTTTGACACTAGCTACATCACCATTATCATCAACTGTTATAACCACCACTACAAAATCTGCTACTGCAATGTATACTATATAGCAATTACGACACTAGATGCATCACCACTATCATCATCAACTGTTGTAACCACCACTACAAAATCTGCTATTACAATGTATACTATATAGCAATTACGACACTAGATGCATCACCATCATCATCAACAACTGTTATAACCACCACTACAAAATCTGCTATTGCAATGTATACTATATAGCAATTATGACACTAGCTCCATCACCACTATCATCATCAACTGTTGTAACCACCACTACAAAATCTGCTATTACAATGTATACTATATAGCAATTACGACACTAGATGCATCACCATCATCAACTGTTATAACCACCACTACAAAATCTGCTACTGCAATATATACTATATAGCAATTATGACACTAGCTACATCACCATCATCAACTGTTATAACCACCACTACAAAATCTGGTCTTGCAATGTATTCTATACAGCAATTTTGACACTAGATACATCATCATCATCAACTGTTATAACCACCACTACAAAATCTGCTACTGCAATGTATACTATATAGCAATTACTAGCTGTACCCGGCCACGCGTTGCTGTGGCATAGTTTGGCTAAATGGAAATGAAAGAAAATAGAAATCCCACGTGTCTAATACAATTATTGTCTGCTCAGATATAGAGATAGTCTTTGATCCCCACCTCACCCCCCCCCCACCCCACAACTAAATCCACCTACTACCCTCTCCTTCATCAAATTTAAGTCATTACCCCCTCCCCTCCCCTCTTCCACCGACTACTGCTTTCTCCCTCTTCGAAGGATTTGAAAATCACTAACTGGCGATATTTTGTTGTTCCTGTAACTGACATTGACATCCCTGTCCATCTGGACTAAAATAGCAGCCACTTAATCGGAACAACGAAAAGAGAACTCAACTATTAGACATGTGTGTCTACTACTACTGTGTCGCGATTAAAACACAATTCAAAACCGCAGGCAATTGTTTTCTCGTAGACAGATACTCCAGATATATTAATGAAATAGAAATCGCACGTGTCTAACACAGGTAATGAAGTTAATGTCGCAGTCACTGTCTGCGCCGACGTCGAGATAGTCCTTGATTGCCCCCCCCCCCCCCCCCCCCCATCAAAGGTTGTTTGAAAAAAAAAACAGAAAATAGAAATCGTGTTTAATATGGTTATTGTGGCAAAAATAGAGATAGTCTTGTTTGCTGTACCACGACCTACTCTATGTATTAGTATTAGAGAAGGCGTTGGCTGCACGTAACTCGCCGGCGAATGGTAAATACGGCGCATGCGCGATTACTAACGTGGCTATAATTAGAAATCACTAAAGTTATAAATATTAGTTGCGAATATTTTGGCATAAATTGTGGTCACCTATCTCCAACAGTGACAGGTTGAATTTCAAACCACGATGGTTCAAAATCCGGTATCAAAACAAACATATCCTGAAAATTTCAGCTAAATCGGTTCAGTAGTTTCTATAGGGACCAAACAAACACACAAACATTGATTTTTATATTTATAGATGACACTAGCTACATCACCATCATCAACTGTTATAACCACCACTACAAAATCTGGTCTTGCAATGTATACTATATAGCAATTATGACACTAGATTCATCATCATCAACTGTTATAACCACCACTACAAAATCTGCTATTGCAATGTATACTATATAGCAATTATGACACTAGATACATCATCATAAAATGTTATAACCACCACTACAAAATCTGCTATTGCAATGTATACTATATAGCCATTATGACACTAGCTCCATCACCATTGTCAACAACTACTATAACCACCACTACAAAATCTGCTCCTACAAGTATGACTACTGACAGATAATTAAAAAAAAAAAGAATTTTATATATATATATATATATATATATATATATATATATATATATATATATATATATATATATATATATATATATATATATATATACTATTAAAACCATCATTAACACAACTGTATTGAACTTATTTACAGAAAAACAGCAATATTTATATTTTTTAGCCAACACATTCCACTTTAACCTTCCTCACTTTCCTTGCTATGTTCATTAAAAACATGAAGAGTCTCACCTTTTCAGCAACAAATCTGAGCATGCACGTCTTAGCAACCAGTACAGAAATACAACTTTATTTTCATTGGGAGTCACAGTAGTTTAGTGTTTCTGCCAGCCCATTTGTTATTGATTTTAACTCTTTCTGTCCTAAGGAATGCACCACATGTTCATAGGTCCCTGCCTAGAAGTCCAATGAACGCAAGATACGCTGAATATAAATTTCTCTTTGCCACCACGTGGGCCTCTGATGCTAACTCCCTTGGGATTGAAAGAGTTAATCCCCAATGAGATGATTTGAAACAAAAACTGACACAGGCTCCAGGCCAACCCAGCCCAAGACAGATGAAAGACAATCTCATGGGAAGTAAAGGCAGCCTGCACTATACTGTCCTCAACACCCTCTGAGCACTAACCGGTCTATAACAATGTAAGGTTAGCAGCAATATATCCAGTATACAAGGCAATGGGTTGGACCAATTAAAATTACTTTCTTAAATCGTTTTTTAAAAAAAGTAAAGGACCTTTTTTCACCTCAGTGGTGTATGGGGCAAATGATGCTAGACTTAATCAGCACCCGATGAGTGATGTGGCCAACAGCAAGCCCGCTGCCTTTACTTCCCAGGACTTTACCTAGTCTAGTACCCATTTGTGGGCTGGATCCACCTGAGACCATAGACATTTTTTAAAAAATCAAAAACTGAGCAGATTTCTTGTTCTTTGTTTACCGGTTGTAAGCTCCCGTGGCAAGTCCTGGATGTAAGCTCCTGTGGCATGTCCTGGATGTTTTTCCATCTGGGCTTTGGCTTTGTGCCAGGGCCTGCCTTTTGAGTGTACATCTGTTTTATTGGTTATTTGTGTGCAGTTAGTTTTTCCGTGCCACTTGGGTAGATGCACTCTGACTTCAAAGAAAGGTCCCAATTAGTCGACTCTTATGCCATACTTGTTGGGGAGACAGTGGGTCTATCCTTGTTTTCCCCCACTATAAGTAAGTAAAGTAAAGATCCCTTTTCATGCCTTTAGGCACATCGGGCAAATGGGAAAGAGCACCCATAATTTTACAGACTAATCGGCACTAGGTGGGTAATGTGGTCAGCATTACGCCGGCCGTCTTTACTACCCCACGACATACATCCTGGTATCCATACATTTTAGGCTGGGTCGACCTGCGACGCCCCATACCATGATAAAAATCCATGCTTTCCCTGACAATGGGACCCCAGAACTCATAAGAGGAGGTGCAGATTTGAACTTGAGACTTATAGACCAGCAAGAGAGGGTCTTTAACTTACTATATTCATTTAAAACCTTTAGTGTCTCACCTTGGCAGAGAAAAATCTGGGCATGCGTGTCTTAGCAAGCAATATGAAAATACAACTTTACTCTGTCTTCAATTCCGTGAGCCAGGCCTCCAGGAGAAAGACCAATGAAAGGCCAGTCACTGCGAACAGGTTGCCAAGGCAGAGAACTCAAGATGTAATACAGACTAGCATAGTTGATTCTTGAAATGTGTAAGTCTCCTTCAACATCTATAGATGCCCTCTGCCACAGGCTGCTCCAGTGTTTGACATGGCTCGTTAGCAGGCTGTTGTTTTCAAAAGCTTCCACAGCTGGAGGGGGAAAAACAGATATGTTACGAGGTTGTAACATCCAAAACAGTTTTATCTAACATTTATTTTAGTTACGGCCCTTGTTCACATCTTTTTATGTTTAGTATTCATTTATTGTGATCACATGCGTGTTAGGGATTTAACTGGCCAGGCAATGTGATTTCTCTCTGAGATACTTCAGTTATGTGATGCTGTGTATTCTTTTTCATTTTTGTGGTATTGTATATTAATATAATGTGCTGATGAAGGTTTTCTTGCTTCAACATTTACTGTTCTTTTGTGTTTGTGATAACGTGAAGCTGACTTGTTATACTTTTCATTTGGTTTGATATATTTTCATGATACAGATATGTGTGTTCTTTCTGTCTGGCTATTACAGGCTCTAAAACAGGCTTCTATTAATGTTATATGGGCAGGATCACACTAGCCCCATCCTAGGAGGATGACATGCAACGCAAATTTTAATGTTATTGCAGGGCACACAGGCTCTTAGCCTTGATTGGCTGCTGGTCTAGGAGGGAAGCTCTGGCAAGTTGACAGACAAAGCACTGCTGTTCTCATTTGGCAGTTTCTGCAGCTTGATTTGTTTCAAACAGATTGGTGTGACTGGCGGTGTGGATGTCAAGGATGATAGGGTCATTAAATTTGCCTCTTCCAGCCTGCACGTACGAACGTATTGCGACCATGAAAACAGGGGAGCATCGACTGTCATTGAGAAACAATTTTTCCGCACTCTTACGTAAAAAGTCATTTCAAGACAATTATCAGAAGTTATTGCAGAGCTGCAAGGCTGTGACATAACATGGTTTTGCTGAGCAAACAATAAACAGATTTTGTGGCAGCAGGCAGTGTATTTCATGGTAAGTAAGTTCGTAAATATCTTCTAAATTAACAAGATTACCACACTTTGTTTTTTAGTTCTGTGTTCATTTTTACATAAGAATGGGAAATTTCACAAGGGTTGGCTTATAGAAAGCATTAAAAAAACTGTTTAGTGTCATCACTGTTTTCGCTTCAAATACAACATGTATGGGTCAGACAGACATTTGACCCGCTTTTACTTTATAATTAATAAATCATCACATGTTAGTTATTTAGTTGCAGGAAGCATACATTTTATTTCTATAAAGAACTGAAACACTGACATGGGATTTCATTTCATAATCTGATCTGATTTTAAACATTTTAAATGTTGTTTTCCCATAGGTGCAATATATGCAAACATCTGATGTAAAAGCAAGAGGTTGCCATGAGAGAAGATGGACTGATGTTTTTAAAGACCTTCTACATTGAAACCGAATGACAGTAGACATTGCTACTCATCGACCAATGGATCACTACTTTTCATCCTCACAAAAGCTAAAAAGCATAAGCAGAATCTGATGATGATGATGATAGTTATTATAAGTAAAGTAAAGGACTCTTTTCCATGTCTACAGGCATATTGGGCATATAGGTCTAAATGTATATTTTAGAGACTAAATGGCATTTGGTAGGTGACGTGGTCAACATCACACCAGCCACCTTTATTTCCCAAGAATTTAGTGGTACCCATTTAAGGTTGGGTTGTCCAGGGAGCCAATGTCACTTTTGAAAAAGAAGTCTGGCTCCATGAGGGCTTGAACCTACAACCTTTGTATCCACAGATGAGCATCTAGCCGCTACAACATGGTGGCCCCCCATGATGATTATAGTCAGGCAAAAATGAAGCCAAACAGTAGAAATATACACAATACAAACACAATACAGACCTGAGTTGTACTCCAGTAGCACCACGTCACTGTCAACATCAATAACTGTTAGACCCAGGTATGTTTCCTCCAGTCTCCCAGGAGTCATTTTGACTGTGCCCTAACAAAATACCAAACCTTCATTTAGCTGAGTTAAGCACGGTTAAGAACTGACATAGCACCCACTATATTCACATAAGTGCTCTGTACCCATATTCAGCAATTCCTGTTCCAGTAATAATAGCAGTAGTATGATTATATGGTTGTCTTTCTCTCCTCAGTGTTGACTGTCAGCCAGATCCCCTGAGATCTTCCTGCTGCACTGTTATCTTTGGATCATGGTGATCATTTTGTGCCTCCGCTTGTTCCTCAACAGCCTCTGGGTCATCTAATTTGTCATGCATCAGTTGACCACTAAGTGGTGCAGAACCAGCCAGTATGTCTGCCTGTTCATTTCCCACACACCTGGATCACTGCAGAAAATATCCTAAGGATGCTAACTACCTGGAACATCTGACGCAATGTTTGCCATCCGCGTGGACCTTATCTGTCTCCACATTGTCAACACGCTCAAAGAGGCTGTTACAAGGATGACATATGGTGGTTCTCCAGCCAGCAGAAGGCAGCAGTAACTCCCTCCACCTCCATATTTCAAAACTCAATATTGTGGTATTGTATGCCAGGCTTTGTTGTATTAAGGGTGGTGCATTTGATTTTGCTTTGAATCCCCATGCACTTATTCACCTCTCAATAAAGACCCATAGCTCCTCATTTAGTAAAACAAAAATACGGCAAGAATGCCCTGGTACTATCTGCCACAGCGAGCCACACTAAAATGTTACAATGGGTATAGAGCATGTGGAAGACCTCGGAAAATATGGAGTGATGGCATTAAGAACAGCCTTACAGAAATGAAAATCAGTCTTAATATGACAGAGCTCATCAATGAATGTTACATCTTCCCTCGACACTTCGATGAGGTACAAGGTGGAAGAGAAGAAGAAGAAGAAGTGGATCTAATATCTTTTCCACAAAACTGGGCCCTCAATCCCACATGGAAAATTCTTCAACAATCAAAAGGTGATGAAAAAACGGAACAATACTACTCTCATCTTCTTCAGTCAGTCAATTGTATTTTTCATGACATGTAGGTCTTGTCTCATAATCTCATTTTTTTTTTACTGTGACCAACATGATCACGTATTTCCTACACAGCATTCTAAACTGCTAGGCACACACTACTGTCTATTACTGTCCTATGGTCTCGCTGAACACTCTACAGTAAGGCAACTTTGTGATCTACTTTATCTTATTCTATCATGATAACCTATTTCATATACAGCATTCTAACTGCTAAACTGATAAACATTACTAATTCTTTGGTCTCATTAAAACACTCTAGAGAAAGGTTCAGCTAGGTCTTCCACTTATAAAATCATGTACACTTCACTTACTAACTACTTACCTCTAATGATGGAGAGGACAACATGAAGAAACTGGTCTGTGGTGCCAGCTCTGGATACTCTGCCTCTTTAGTCAGTCCATGCAAAATTCTAAAAAACATAAGAGAACATGAATCTACAAACCTGGCCATGCTGGTGTTAAAGGCAGTAAATGAGTGGACTAGCTGGCAAGTAAAGCATCAATATTGTGATGAGGTGCTTTGCATGGTCTCCGTGCTCACAACAAGTCAAGCAGAAAATCAGTGCCATAAGCTACTTGGGGCTGAACGGTAATCCAGGGAAAGTCCGAGGTGGACTCATGGTCAATTCTGTACCAAAGTTAGAAGAGGACAGTTGTGATGTCATTACTGTAGTTTTAATTAAGTGGAGTAAACGTCGAGTAAATGAGTATTGTGTCATAGTTGTGGAAGTAAATAGTGATGATTGCGATTGAGTAATTGAGATGAAATAAAAGAAATAAACTGGCAGAATGTATTATGGAATCCAAGCGGTGTTTCAGTGTTGTCAGTTGTAGGAAGATGTAATTGTTCTAGAGTAAACGAGCCACAGTAAAAGTGATCCACCTATAATACGAGCCAGCTTTCTTACAAATATGTTGGGAATAAGCACAGACGGAGATGATGCTTTTATTGATGTACTGACTAGACTAGAGGTAATGAAGAGTCCCCGATGCTAACACAACTACATGATTTAGAAGTAAAGCCTGGTGAAGCATAACTTAGCCATCTTTGAGGTCAGGAATGGCTGCTCCATCGGAGCACTGGGCATGCATGGGAGTATACAAAGTGCTGTGACATCAGAGAACTGCACATGCATGGGAGTATACAAAGTGCTGTGACATCAGAGCACTGCATATGCATGGGAGTATGCAAAGTGCTGTGACATCAGAGCACTGCACATGCATGGGAGTATACAAAGTGCTGTGACATCAGAGCACTGCACATGCATGGGAGTATACAAAGTGCTGTGACATCAGAGCACTGCATATGAAGGGGAGTATACAAAGTGCTGTGACATCAGAGCACTGCACATGCATGGGAGTATACAAAGAGCTGTGACATCAGAGCACTGGGCATGCATGGGAGTATACAAAGTGCTGTGACATCAGAGCACTGCACATGCATGGGAGTATACAAAGTGCTGTGACATCAGAGCACTGCATATGAAGGGGAGTATACAAAGTGCTGTGACATCAGAGCACTGCACATGCATGGGAGTATACAAAGTGCTGTGACATCAGAGCACTGCACATGCATGGGAGTATACAAAGTGCTGTGACATCAGAGCACTGGGCAGGCATGGGAGTATACAAAGTGCTGTGACATCAGAGCACTGGGCATGCATGGGAGTATACAAAGTGCTGTGACATCAGAGCACTGCATATGAATGGGAGTATACAAAGTGCTGTGACATCAGAGCACTGCACATGCATGGGAGTATACAAGGTGCTGTGACATCAGAGCACTGCATACGAAGGGGAGTATACAAAGTGCTGTGACATCGGAGCACTGCACATGCATGGGAGTATACAAAGTACTGTGACATCAGAGCACTGCACATGCATGGGAGTATACAAAGTGCAGTGACATCAGAGCACTGCACATGCATGGGAGTATACAAAGTGCTGTGACATCAGAGCACTGCACATGCATGGGAGTATACAAAGTGCTGTGACATCAGAGCACTGCACATGCATGGGAGTATACAAAGTGCTGTGACATCAGCTGTGATAACACAATATAAAAAGAGAACATTTGCCATTAAATATTGTCTTCTGGCAGTTCATAGTTTCAATTACTTTCTCCATATGTCTTTCTTCTTCTTCAGCATTTTGAGCCCTTGAGGTTCATTACTGCAGATATCGCCTGCCTCCATTCATCTCTCTGGTTGGCCTTCTCTTTCCAGTTGGTAACACCAAGTGTTTGCAGGTCTAACTGGATATTATCTCTCCATCGTATTCTTGTTCTCTATATGTGCCAGTAATAATTTAGACTATCTGAAGCAATCATCTATTTTATTTAAATGTTTATAGTTCTCTAGACCCAGCATATTGGTCCATGGTGGTTATTATTCATACTATGCGTAATTAACATAAATTGATTTAATCTATGGTGCTACAATAATAGTAATAGAGGATATGGCTAATAAAGAAGAGGCAGGGGTGACCAGCATGAAGATGGACACAGGACATCAAGGACACCCTCAGGATAAAACTTCATGAGACAAAAAAGTTGGCAAAGGACAAAGTGGCGATTTAAAGAATGCTGTTATATCAGCACATTTATGTACACAACCGGCTAAATGAAAATAAAGGTAGTGCTAAAAAAAATGCCTGAATATTAATTCTGCCCACATTCCATTATTTTAGGTTCAAGAGAATGACAGAGCTGGCTAATGACATCATTTTTAAGGTGACTAGTCTGCCATGCATGAAAATACACCTGGTCCTTTAGTGAAGTATTTGGAGGCTAATATCCCAGCTTTCAAGTTGTACTTACCTCTACATGAAAGACAATCAATTTATGTGAATCTATTTCTCCTGTTATTGTAATTCAGTCTGAATTCTATCATAGCCGCACAAACTGTGCTTCTGTATGTTTCAGGAACTCTCTTCTAATACACCAGAGTGAGGTCTAAGAAGGAACCACTACTTAGATCAAGGCCTGTAGAGAATGGGGCACCTGGGTGTAACCAGAGGGTCTGGCTGGCACACTACACTCAGAGGAAAGGCAAGATGAATATATAACCAGGTTGTGACCGGTATCATTGGTATTGGAACTCTGCGATGGCTGCTGAAGATGAGGATGGAGCACACTTGGAATGCCCAGAATGCTGTGATGTCAATTCTTGATCAACTCAATTCAACTCAACTTAACACTTAGATCAAGACAGTTACAATAGTGCAATGACTACCAGTAATCAGGTAATCCAAGCTCCAGCTTCACAGCAAACTTGCTATCTCATAGCTGCACCGTTCTTGTGCTAATGAAAACCACAAAGAATGTCCATCACTGTCCCTTGTTTTAAAAAAATGGCACAGACAGCAGCCCCAGCAAATGATACTGATCACATCACCTGCCAATATTTGTACAGACCAACAGGTATGTGATGTTGCCATCTGACTAGCCACCTTTACTTCCCATGTTCTATGGTTACACTGAATCAAATTCTTAGGATGGCTATGTACATTTCTGTTACTTCTTGAGAATATAATAAGCCTACAGTATATGAACTACTCAACCAAGTCAGATCATTTTAGTACCAATATCCACTTTTTTATTGTTTGGAAACCAAGTTCTCTTGGAGCCCACATTGACTTTTTCTATGTTGAAAACTTTTCAATGGCATATGTCAAATCTTCTCAATACAGATAACTAATATACTATATATTCAAATGTATCAGGAAAGACACAATTAATGGTAATATCAAAGGAAAGAATTATGGTTAAATGTATATAAAAATAAAAATAAAAAGCCAATGGTATTACTTAGGACAAGTACAGAAGTTTAGGCATCCAGGCGCATGGATAACATGAGATGGAAGATGTATGACAGAAATAAAGAACATAATAGGATAGACAAAAATCAAGCATTGTTTCAAATGAAAAACATCATATGCAGTAAATCCATTTCATTGGAGGTTAGAAAAAATTCTTACATGCTATACAGACCAATTTAACATATGGTTGTTAATCCTGGACAATTAATAAACAAGCCAAACAATTTCTTGAGACCTTGGAGATTTGGTTTTACAAAAGAATGCTTCAAATTGCTTGGACAGCCAAAATGAGTAAACTGGAAGTTTTGAAGGAGGTGAGGACCTGAAGACAACTTATCACAAACATCCAAAAGAGACAGTCATCACTCTGTGAGGGAAAAAAGACAGAAAAAGAAGACAATACAAGAGAATTTTTGACAACATTTTATAATGGCATGGAGGGGTGTCAGCACATGAACTGATACACGATGTTGGAGATCGCAGGTTGTGGAGAGGCATCATTGCTACCAATGCCAGTCAGCAAGGTCTGTGATGATGATGTTGCATAACCCATGAAAACCTAGCTTTTTTCAGTAAACACCGAATACTTGCCAGTGGAATACATACCCTGTTGTGGCATTACTGGTGAAGTCCACATCCACACTGGGTTCTCCTTTGTTCAAATTTATGGTGACCTCGACATCCCTGGAGACACTATCCCTGGACAGGACCAATTCAGTGACCAGGACTCGAACCAGCTCCCTGTGTGCATATGTTCGTAGTGAGACAGTAACCCCTTGGCCTGTGTACGTCTCAAAAAACACACCTAATGTAGACAGGATGAATGTGAATGAAAGGCAATCATGATGAATGTAAATGAAAGGCAATCAGGATGAATGTGAATGAAAGGCAAATGTTAATGGAAAATATTCTCAAATAAAACATGTGAAAATGTTAGTATGTTCACAAAACTAGCAACAGAATATATATAAATACATATTTTTGTGATCTGCTTCAGAGGATTGATGGGCCAGGCAAGGTCTCACAAGACTCTCTTCGTCTCTGCATGGGGCATCGTGGTTAGACATCAGCCTGACAAACTAAAAGAAGATTTTTTTCATCTTAGCATCCACAGGCAGTAAAACTTCTGCAGAAAATTCTAGTTGTCGTCTAATTCAGGACTTTAGTTTTGTTCCAGAACTACAAATTTTTGTGGACATCCATTTTATATCTGGCTTACTTTTATGCAGACTTTGGCTCCTTGCGGCTTAGGCACATGGGCTCTGACTTCGGAGAAAAAACCATTAGTCACTTTTTACGACATGCTTGTTATGGGGGGGGGGGGGGGGGCAGTGGGTCCCTTCTTTGTTCCCCCTAAATGGGGCCCGTGAACCCACACACTGAGAATGGAAGATCAACCATGTCTTATACTGTATTATGCCAACTCAGAACTCAAACTTTGCAGATTATGTGATTACTAGAGAGCTGGTTTGTTGTCTGGCTGCTTCTATCAGTGATGAACTACAATTCTAGCAGCATGCTGTATGTGTGCGTAACTCTGGTAGCTGCATTTTGCATATAATGTATGTGCATGATGTTGATTGCAAGGAGTACAGTCTTTCCAACTTTTCACCTTGGACAAAGTTTGGCATTTTGTGTGGGTTTCATTGGTATAGGAACTGAGCTATTCTGGGTTGACCTGTTGGATGCACAGTTAGAACTGCGAATAACAATGACTAATGACTAAATTACATGCCGTGCTTACTTCAGCTGCCAGTTCTTTTCTGAGAGTGTTTAAAACAAACATTTCTGCTCACCTCTGCCAGTATCCAAGGAATAAAGTCTCTGAAGATTTGCCGGAGTTGTGGCGTTAATACTGTAGCCCGATGTTGAAGGTATTCTGGCACGATGGCTGCTGAAATTGGCACCATTGTAGAGTCCATTCATTAAAACAGTATCACTGTCAACCACTGTGGCAATATGGCCATTTCCTACCTCTGGCATGTAGTCTCTGTTTGCTGGCAAGCTAAAGTGAGAGAAAATATGTGTCAGGTTCTAAAAGATTAACACATTTTTGCTAAACTCTTTCAGTGCCAGGGAACTGTACATTTACTGGTTTATTTTTTTATAGTATCTTTTTTCTTTATATTTCCTATCCAATCTTCTGTTATGTTAACTCCTTATACAGCAGGACTCTGCAATATCCAGGCTAATATGGTCAAAGGGTAGGCCAGATAACAAATCCCAGATATGCTATAGTTGTGTACATACTGTTTCTTCCCCACCATATCATTAAAAACATCTTTTTTATTCCAAAACCAACTCTGATTCACAATCAAAAACTATGACCTTCTGACCTTTCAATGCAGATTAGTACTGTATAAATGGTTCTTATTTATTTTACTGTACGTATGTTTTAAACATTTATTGCAGGGGAGGTGTGTTTGTGTGTGTGTGGGGGGGGGGGGGGGGGGTCAACAAATTACTTTCCTCCCTCTTCCACAGGACTGGACACTCCAATTTTCATTTTCTGTTGTCTTTGTCTTCCATTATTTAGTCATTCCTCAATAGCCTATTTTTCATGTACTACCAACTTCATAGTTGGTCACAATTTTGTAATCTATAATTTAACAAAACAGTTAGAACACCAAACAACAATGTGATACAGTTACAAGTAACAGTAGCAAAAATGCTCCATGCTGTTGAAATCCAATACACAACTGATGAAGTGAAGAGAGTCATTTAGCAGGGCGGGAGAGAATCTGCGCTTTGATGTGTGAACTTGTTTTAGGCACACCTGATCCACACTTGCAATGACGTGGCAAAGTATTGAGGTTTGAGGTTTTAAACAGCGGATCAACATCATGGCACACAGGGTAGTAACCAATAAGTGCTCCGTTCTTCTTCTAACTCAAGTCTGAGTCCGAAGAAGCTTAGCACAGTGCACAGGTAGATTTTAAACTCCAAATTTTGCCAGGGCAGCGCTGTTAAGCTACTCTTTTCTTGTCAAAGTATATTATTCCTAATATCATTACCAAGAAAGTTTTAAAATTTTAGACTGATAATACGGAGTCTGGATAATCATGATCTAGTGTCACATTACAGAATCAACACACCTACCACAATAAGCTAGCCCACAGTTTGGACACCCCCATAATCGTTGTTGTAACTATGATATCGGATAGTCCGTCCGTAGAGATATAGTTTGTGGGTTGTGGGAGAGTCCAGATGTGAGAAATCTATATAAATCACTTTTAGATTGTTTCTTCCAGGCGTATAAGGTCAATTTGTATGTTAGGACACATTTTCTATGCCCGTTTAAGATTAATTGTGTGACCGCTTCACAGTGTACTTGAGCCATATTCTCGCCCCAACTGTTGTAGATAGGGACTATAATTTTATACGTCACTTCTTCGTAGTCCGTTCAAGTGAGCGAACGTGTTGCATTTTTGTAGCCACATGACCGTTAAAAAAGACAAGCTTCTTTATTCTCTTTATCCATTGACATGGGATATTGGAAGATCCAACAAGCATCCGTGTGGTAGTCGTGTTCTCCCACCAACCAGCACCTGGGAAGCATCTGACGTGCGTTGACCAGCCGTTGCCTGATGTGTCTGTCAGTTGTTGAAAGTCACACCCACCTGTCTCTGGGAAGTTGATTGTTATTCGATCAGTCCCAGGGGTCGTCTTAATCGCACAGAGACATTCTGAGTAACGGGACGTGACAGAAATCTACCTTCCGGCATCCAGAGGAGCTGCAGGATCCGACAAGATAAGTCTAAGACAACTTCACTATAGCGGCCTTAGTCCAGATGTGCCTTCGTAGTCCGTCTCTGCTCTCCGAGGCAAGGATGACCCTGGAAATGGATGTGGCTATGTAGAAAGACTCTTTCTCTAGTCTCAGTTCTTCAAAGACTTGAACATTCTTTTGAATTCTTCGTGCTACTTTTCTTCTGCCTGGTTATAGTGCATTTATTACAGTGAAGTTTTAGTTCATCAGACTTCTTGTTCTTAGAAAAGTTTGGTTTTAATGGAATTCATTATCATAGTCAGAAAGGTGTTCGTGTCTTGTCCTATCCACTGTTGTTTATATATTTGACTGTGTTACGTTGTTTACCAGTCTGGGGGCAAATTTAGTAATGGGGATGTCTGGCCGAGAGGTACCCAAGAGTTCATAGTAACCCTGTGGAGTCAGAGCTCGAGTCACCTCATTCCTGAGATAGGCTGAATAGAAGTTTGAACCGAGGGTTAGGCCTCTAGACAAACGAGAGCCACCATTCAGAAGACCCCTGTCTCAGAGCACCTGAGGGGATTTGGAAAATAATCCTCAAGTAAAGGTGTGCGACAAAACTGTCATACGACATCTAGATAATCAAGGTTCTACTGTATTTGACTTGCTACTATAATGACTTCTGGCCCACAGACTTGTTAGTTCTACATGATTAAACAAATGTTGTTCCAAGTACTGAAAAAAAAAACCCACTGCTGAATTAAAAACTACATGGAGCTAAAAGAGTTCAGGTGCAAAAAATGTACGGTATACCGTGTCGAAATAACAACTACTTGGAAATGAAAGAATGTAGCTTGGGCTCACCTTTCACTGGATAAAACAGTGCTATCTGCTGGAGTTAGAGATGGTGGCACTGGTTCAGAACCAGCCTTAATATATCTGTTTGGTTCCATCTGTTTGAATAATGACATTGTGTTTAATTATTTCTAATCATCAATTTTGATAGCAATGTATTTCAACACAAACAGGTAGTTGTTCAGGATTGTGCTTCACTACAAACAAGAAAACAGGCTGTGTTATCGCAGTCGATAGGAGACTCACTTTCAAATCCAGCTGCAGCCCACAAACTGGGCGGTTCCCGGGGTTCACCCAGCCTCTAGGAAATGGGTATCAGAGTTAACACACTGGGGTAAATAGAGGAACATCGCTCTAGCTACAGAGTATCATGTGGATGGTGACACAGGCAGACAGTTTCTAATTAATTAACGGTTAATAACCGTATGCAATGACGCTGGTTCACATCTTCAGAATTTACCCTTACCTTTTACAAACAAGAAGGTGTTTCAATATAAACAAGGTGGTTCAATTTAAAAAAAAAAATACAAGGTGTTTAAATATAAAAAAGATGTTCTTTCAATCCAAACAAAAAGATGTTTCAATAAAACAAGAAAGTGTTTCAATACAAACAAGAAAGTGTTTCAATAAGGGTGTTTTAATACAAAGAAGAAGGTGTTTCACAACAAATAAGAAGGTGTTTCAAAAAAATCACAGTCTTTAAATACAAAAAGAAGGTGTTTCAATACAAATAATAAGGTGTTGTATACAAAAAAAGAAGGTGTTTAATACAAACAAGAAGGAGGTGGAATACAAAACAGAAGGTGTTTCAATACAAACAAGAAGGTGTTTCCATACAAACAAGAAGGTGTTGGAATACAAAAAAAAGGTGTTCCAATAAAACATTGTGTTGTCACAAACAAGAAGGTGTTTTGATACAAAGAAGTGATGGTGTTTAATACAAACAACATGGTTCAATCAAACAAAAAAGCATTTCAATACAACCAAGAAGGTGTTTCAATACTAACAAGAAGGTGTTTTAGTACAAACAAGAAGGTGTTTCAATACAAACAAGAATGTGTTGGAATACAAAAAATAGATATTCCAATAAAACAAGTTCTTTCAACACAAACAAGAAGGTGTTTAAATACAAACAAGGTGTTTCAACACAAACAAGAAGGTGTTTCAATATAAACAAGAAAGTGTTTAAATACAGAAGAAAAAAAAAAGATAAATACAGCACTGTGTTTTTAATTTTTGATGACATTTGTCATGATTATCTTCTTCTTCTTCAGAGCATTTACCAGCTGCTAACTCCATCAGAAAGTTCTGGTTGTTCATCAACCTCTGGACTGTGATCTTATTCCAGAACTGGAGTTTTGCACACATCCTTTTCATAGTTCTGACTTACTTGTTTAAGACTGTCGGTTCCTCATCTCTGAAGCTTTTAACGGCAGGCCTATTAGGGTGGGGCAGTAGGTCTTTCTTGTTTCCGCCCAGATGGGGCCCCAGAACCCAAATGGGAAGCCATGATAAGAAAAAATAAAAGTATAAAGGTTTTTTTTCCCCATTTACCGTTGTGAATAAAAACAGAAAATGCAATTTTAATTCTTGAAAATCATGAAAAGCAACACACAATCAGAAACAACTCAAGGTACAAGAAACATTATGCCAGACACAGCCAGCAATACATTTATATATAGTTATTAATTGTGCAACCATGCTCAAGTGGACATAAATTACAACCAATAAAAATCTCTCACGTGTCCGAGCCCTCCAAGGTAGTAGAGATAGACATAGACTCCTGTACCTGAAATCAGGAGAGCAGCAACAGCAAGAGTGGCCACCAGAATAGGTGTATTCTTATCCTTGTTTGAAGAAACAGTCATGGAGAGAGTCTATAATCACCAGAAGGTGCACAACTTGAACGAATCAGCAGTAAGCACATGTGAAACATTTCTCTCAATGATGTTCAGTTTTATCTCATCAAACATATACATCTATTTAAAAGGAACACCCCCCCCCCTCCCCCACCCCCACACAAATCTGGGCTTTTTGAAGGAAAAAAGAAATAAAAAGATGCCAGTATTCAATACAAGGTGTGCCGCCATTGTGTGGCAGCTAGATGCTGGGATTCAAAGGTGTTGGGTTCAGGTCTTGACAGATACAAACTTTCTTCTTCTTCAGAAATGATCCTCATTACCAGGCTGACCCAGCCTTAAATTCGTACCAGGAAAAGTCCTGGGAAGTGAAGGCTGCTGGTGTGTTGTTGACCACATCACTCACTTGGTGCCGACTGGTCTGTACAATATAGGTCTGGCCTTTTATGCCAAATACACCTGCAGCGTGGAAAATGGTACTTTCATTCATCACAAAGGGTCCAATAAAGATGCTGGTAGTGACCACAAAGTGTCTATCACAGCAGTGCTAAAAACATGATGCCTACATTAACAAAATGGTGACAGTGGTGCCCAGAGCTGACCGTTCAGGGTGCAATGACCGACCAATAAACGTAAAATTTACCTAGCAAAACCGCAGCAGCCAAAAAATGCTGGGGTTGATTCTGCAATCTCCTGTCAATGATACGCAAATAACTAACATGTGGTCTCCTTCTCTTCTGTCCAACATCTCTACATCTGCTAACTTTACGGCTCGCTGAATTACAAAAGACAGTTAAGTTTATACTAGAGACAACATTGCAGATAGAGATAATCTATTTCAAGCGAACGAAAGAATAAGAAGTAAAAGAATACTTTCGTAATCAACTTGAATATAACCTACCGTGAAACCGGAACAGAAGCTAGAGAACAGCAGAAGACATCTGCAAACACAGAAATCGCCCATTATGCCCTAAATGAGGGAAGTTGTCAGTTGCCAGAAAAATGTGTTTCAATGTAGAGTACAGAATCTGTAATGCTGTAAGCATGCGGACTTCGGACAGTGCGGTGATAAACTAGGAACAAACAGCTGATAGCAACAGAGATATCGTTTCCAATATAAAAACAAGAGGAAAATAAAAGGGGAAAAAAAGGGGGGGGGGCGCATGGATAGCAGACAATAAACGGAAAAAAAGAAAAAATAGGTCTGCAGTTCGGTGGTTTGTTAGGGGATATCATCGGGAGATGCAAACTTAAAAACTTATTGACAACAGCAAAAGCTGAAAGGAAATAAAGACATCTAGACAAATCACTTGACGATGTCATCTGAAAAGAACACTGACCTGTCTAAGACTGTGGTTCCTGCATGAGAATTCTAAGATAAATTCTCCAAAAGATGAAGATGAACCCGGAAGTGTTTCTCTTGTAAGAGGTCATAGTGCATCAGTTTAAAAAAAGTCTCTGGCCTTGGGGCGGGGTGGGAATACAAGGAATGGGCCGCGCACGTGCAGACCACCTCTTTCTAGAACAGCGGTTCTAAACCTTTTTTCCCCGCCGCACCCTTGTCAGGCGGCACAGCACACCTTAATGCGGTTTGAATACTTAGGAAAAGGAGAAAAACAGTGAAATTTAATGTTCAGTTGTCTTTAATACAATGAATGAAACTGTTTTTATGAATGTTTCATTATTGTCTTCATGTTTATGGAAAGTTTAGTTAATTGCACTCTCAAAATACTTGACCCAGAATGTTTGTTCCTGTTTCTTTTTTCATGTAAGCTTTTGTTGGTTGAGAATACACTGCAGCCTTGCCAAAAGCATTGTTTTCAGAATACACTGCAGCCTTGCCAAAAGCATTGTTTTCAGAATACACTGCAGACTTGCCAAAAGCATTGTTTTCAGAATACACTGCAGACTTGCCAAAAGCATTGTTTTCAGAATACACCAGCATCCAGAAGTGTTCTCGGCTTTCATCATAGTATTTCTGTTTTAAACTGCTGTCTTCGCTGATCTCGAAACAGATTTGGAAACATTCTTGATTATTGCCGCGGCACCCTTGGTATATGCTCGAGGCATCCCTGGGTGCCGCGGCACCCAGTTTGAGAGCCCCTGCTCTAGAAGCTAAAGAAGGTCCTAGTGCAGACAGAGGTTAAGCAGCTGACAGAAGACAATTCCGGCTCCCCCTTACCTTTTTAATCCTCCAGATTTGCAATGTGAAACCCTGTTAAGCCGTTTGGCCATGTGGTACAGTTATACTGGGGTACCACAAAACGGTAAACTGATAACCTATAGTTTAATGTGGGTGGGTACTGATGATACAACAGCTCTCGGCCAAATACGTATATATACTGGGAGAAGCCGGGGCAGAAACCACATACACTTTTGAGCATCATCATCACCACTCACTCGCTTGTCAGCCCACTCCGACAACAGCTCTCGTCGCCCGCTCGCTAACGCACCATTCGTCGCCCGATTCTCGATAACTAGATACTTGACACGGATTCGCTTGCTTAAGTTGCTTGTCGGTTGAGTCAGTCTTGACTAGTAATCTTGGTCAGCGCTTGTTTTGGGTATTGGCAGCCCGATTGAAAGCACGATTTTTTTTCAAAGTCCGATAACCTTAGCCTTGAATACTGCGTCGGGAGCACCCTGGGAGTACTTCTCAGAACTCTAATCAGGCTTGTAACCTTCGCAGAAATCAAGCTATTGCTAGCCATCCGATCAGAGGCGAATTACCAAATACCTTATCATAATGTCACGAGGCAGAAAAGAGCCAAGCGGAGGAATCTGGTAAGATCCAGTTTCAGCATCAATAGAGGCATTGTTGCTCCGCTCCTGTGCCACGAAAAACACTCGTATCTCACAGTGTCACACCGCACTCAAAACTACCTCAGAGGCAAATCCAGTACAGACAGGGAGAAGAAAGCAAAGAAGTCTGTTGCCCAGACGACTGCGAAGACACTGCCAACTTCACCCGAGAAGACGAGGCCAACAGTGAAAGATGCCCCAGTCGTAGCACAAGCACCAGCGGAAGATACCCCGGTTGAGGCGCTCTCGCCAGACAGACCCGACGCTGCTAGGCCTTTTCTTACAAACGCTAGACGAAATTAAGACACAAGAGGAAGACAGGCTAACAGAGGCTACGCAGCAAACCAGGTTGTTAGCAGAAGTAGATGAAGCAACACACAAACTTCAAGACTTGCTGTCACAGCTCAAAACGGCCCAGGACCAGGAAGCAGATCGCC